AGTGATTCTTCCTGTTACAGGCTAGAGTTGGAGAAGAAATTCACTTCTCCACCTACCTTGCTTGGGAGTGATATAATCAGAAGCCATTGTTGTTTACTGGGACTAAGAAGTCACAGAATAACTTCACTTCAGGATCTCTAGAGTCACCCAACCACAGTGACTGGGTAGGAGAGAGGAACAAGAGACAGTCACAGAGAAGGAATAGGCTAGTCACAGGTCCCCTGAGCTTGAACAATGTTGTGAACTCAGATTGTGAAGGTCACAGTGGTCCCACGATGATAACACCAGTTAGTCCTGTGGTTTCCTGAGGAGGCTGGGTCTGAAAATGCTGATGTTGTGTCTAGCAGTCACTTGGTCCTCTTGCTGCTTATTTCCAGCACAAAGCTTGGTGATGCGTTTGTTTTTCCCAGCTGCCAACATGACCAAGTTAGTCTTGGCTGGTTAGTTCCCACATCCGGGGGTATACAGAGGGGGCTCTGGAGCAAGAGTAGTGCCTGATGATCCCACAGAAAATAAAGCTAGCTGGAGATAGCAGTGACTTGGGGACACACAGAAAGGACAAACACTAAAAGCTGCTAGAGTGAATTTAGCCCTAAGAGAGAAACCACATCATTGACGGACCATGCCCAGCAAGAAAGGTGGAGGCAGGACTCAGCATTCAGGTAAGAAGTGGACATGGAAACAAAACAGGCCCTATTTTGACTCACTATTCCTCACTCCTACCTGGTGGACCCCAATACCACAGGCCCTGGGAAGAAACACCCATGCAAACACTTGGAAGAATATTTTTAAAAATCTTTTTCATGGTAGTAGTGTATGTATGCAGGTGTTTCTTTTCCCTTTTTTCTTGTCTTTTTCTGTTAGGTTTACCTAATTCTGTAACTTTATTTTTAATTGAAATTTTTAATCTTTTCTATTTTCCTTTTCAAATTTTAATTTTCATTTCTCCCTTCTCTCATTTTTATTACTATTTTTTTTTTTTGGTTTTTCTCCGGTACCGGGAACCGAACTCACGACCTTGCGCTTGCCAAGCAGGCTATTACTATTTTTATTAATTTTTAGCTATTGAGTTGGCTATTATTGTTGCACTTTGTGTTAACAGTGGTAAAATTGTTGCTTTTAGTAGATATTTACTGTATGCTGATATTTGGTTGGTCTACATTGGTTCTTAATGGTAATACAATAACCAGTTAACTCGCTATTGCTGTTTTTGGTTAATGCTGGCATAGTTGTTGCTCTTAACTGGCTTTTACTATATTCCACTCTGATTGTCTTTATGTCACTAATGTTACTGTAGTTCATTTTTTCCTGAGTAGTGCTCAGGATCATGGCCCCAAAAGACAGCTGGACACTAAGAAGACCATCAACTACTAAGTAAGTCAAAGGTATAGACACCAAAGCATAATCAAAACCAAGGACATATTCCAGGGAGGCAGAGATCTCCATGGTAATAACCGTTTCTGTATCCTAACTCATCTTCAACCCAGTATGCAACAAAAAATATGAAAAAGCAAGGCAACAGTATGTCCCCTAAAGCTCCTAACTCCCCAAAAGGTCATTTTACAGTGAAGTAGAGGAAGCTATAAGCAAAGGACTCAAAAATTAAATGATCAAAATGTTAGAAGAGATAAGGGAAAAACCATGTAAATATATGCATAAATGTTTAACAAACTCCGAGAGAGTTTAAACATAAAGGATTTTACCAATGGAATGTTTGACAAGGTTAAAGAAACAATGAAACGATTTATGCAAGATATAAATGACCACTTCAGAAAAGAATTAAAGTATAAAAAGCAGGCAAGCGGAGTAGATATGAAAACTTCAATGGAAAGAATAAGTAGCAGACTTGACTAATATGAGGACAGAATGTCAGACATAGACAACAAGGTGGATGTTGTAGATCATAAATTCAATGATAAGCCAGGCATGGTGGTGCACATCTGCAATCCCAGCCCTCAGGAGGCTGAAACAGTAGGATTGCAATGAGTTCTAGGACAGCCTAGGCTACAAAGTGAGCTGAAGGCCAGCCTGAACTGCATAGCAAGACCCTGTCTTAAAAAGACAAAAAAAATAAAAACAAAAACAGTAACACTCAATGATACCCTAAGTGTCAAGACATCATGCAAGCTGGATACAACAGCTGCTATCTTACGCAAAACAAAACAAAGTAGAAGCCCTCAGAATTACAGGAGTAAAATAAAAACTAAAAGATAACTCCAAAAGTATAAATATATATTCACTGAAATTATAGCACAAAAATTTCCAAATCTAGGGGAAAAATTCAATATCCAAGTACAACAGGCACATAGAACCCCAAAACAACCAGAAAAGAACTTGTCCATGACAAGTCACAATCAAAATTCCAGAAATTCAACAAAAGAAAAAACCAAAAGCTTGTTACAGAAAAACGACCAAGTAACTTACAAAAGCAAGACCATCAGAATAACTATGGATTTTTCAGAATAACTAAGGATTTCTTAGGATAACTAAGGATTTCTTAAATGCCAGAAGAGCTTACAGCAATATATTTTAAGCCCTAACAGAAAACAACTGTCAACTGAGACTTTTATATCTGCAAAAAAACCTTTAAAAATTGACACAGGAGACTTTCCTTGACAAAGAAATCCTAGAGAAATAAATGGCCACTAAATCAGAATTGCAGAAAATAGGTAGGGGAATTTTAGATGAGGCATGGAGGTTACCAGCACCAAAGAGTCCGAAGGAAAGTAAACATCTGAGAAAGTAATTCAACAGAAAAAAATAAATAAAGGAATTTGCCCTGGAAAAATAATGTAATGACAGGATTCAGTAAACACATTACAATAATAACTCTCCATGTTAATGGTCTCACCTCCCCAATCAAAAGACACTGGATCAAAAAATAAAAATAAAAATGCAACCATATATTGCCTACAAGAGAGACACCTCATCCTAAAGAAGTACAGGGACTGAAAGTAAAAGGATGGAAAATGATATTCTGTTCAACCAGAGCCCAAAAGCAAGCAGGAGTAGCTAGCTTATTTTCACTCACAACAGACTTCAAGCCAAAACTAACCAGAAGAGACAAAGATAGCCACTGGTGACGAGAACAATTCAATGGGGAAAAGATAACTATAAATATCTATGCACCAAATGTTGGTACACCCAGCTTCATAAGACAAAAATATTAGAGTTAAAAGGAGAGATAAACACCAATACAATCACGGTGGCAGATTTCAATACCCCACTCTTACAGCTAGGTCAACAAGACCATAACAAAACAACAAACATCAGCATCAAACCATACCACTGAACAAATGGACTTAACAGATGTCCACAGTGTTTTACCCAAAACCAAAATACACTTTATTCTCAGCAGTACATGGAACTTTTCCCAAAACAGGACATATCTTAAACCATAAAGCATGTTTAAATAAAGACAAAATAATTGAAATAACGCTGGAATATAATCAGATCATAGTAGAATGAAGCTAGAAATCAACAGCAAAATGCAAATATGCAGGAATTAAATAATACAATATTGAATAATCAGTGTATCACAGAAGAAATTAAAAGTTCCCAGAGTCAAACAATGGGAGCACAACATACCAAAACCTAAGGAACACAGCAGAAGCAGTTCAAAGAGGAAAAGTATAATTGTAAATGTACATAAAGAATAGAATGAATCCAAATAAACAACTTAATGACGTATCTCATGATCATAGAAACAATTCAAATCTGAAATTAAAGGAATATAAAGATCAAAATGGAAATTAATGAAACTGAACCCCTCCCCCCCAAATTGAAAGGATCAATGAGAGAGTTGGTTCTCTGAAAGGATGGGGAGGGGATCTGGAGATCAGAGAGACTGGAAGGAGGTGGGGAAGAGAAAGAAAAACGGATCAAGATGTGATATGTGTACGTACTATGTATTGAAAACATGTAAGAAAGTTGAGAGAAAAATAAAGATAACCCATTGGTAAACAGCCCTGTGAGTGGTGAAGCACCAAGACTGGGTAGCTGAGAAAATTCTAGCTTTGTCAGAAACAGTCCTAATCTCCCTTCATACAAATTGTGCACACAGAAGTGGAAACAGCAAGTTTATGTGTTAAGTATCTGCAATAATGTAAATGCACAGGACATGACACACAGCAAGAACTCAATTAGTGACATCTACATTATCATTTTTGCCTAGACAGGACTAAGGAACTTTGGGCAATCATAAAATAGCTAGGGAATAGACAAAAAGAATGATACACGAAACTACAGAAAGTCAATTCTAGTGAACGACATTACATCACCTTTTTGGGAGTTAGCTTCATTCCAGGCTACTCACATTTTTTTACTTAGTGTACGTTTTAAAGCCACCTGGACTGTGTGTGTCTGACTTTTGACTCCACTGTTTATTGTTCTGGGGACACTCATACAAACTCACACAGCTTCCTTAACTATAAAATGGTGCTCAACAATCGGTGTCTATATGTACATACATATATAAAAATACAAACATATATTTACCATTGTACTGGCATATAGTAAGTATTCAACAAATATTAGCCAGTGTTTAAAGTACTATGTAAAGCCAGGTGCAGAGGTACATGCCTGTAATACCAGTACTTGGGATGCTGACGGAGGAGGACTGCCATGAGTTCAAGGTCAGTCTGAAGTACACAGCAGGACCTTGTCTCAAATGAAACAAAAAATTACCAACATATTTTACAAATTATTTAGCTGTGTAGTTATTGAACTGAAAGTTATATGACAGCAAGATTTTATGTGTGTTTTGTTTACTAGAACTATACCATGCAGTGTGGCAGGTATTCCATAAACAGATGAATATCTACCTAGGTGAAGACAGTGAAGATGGCACAATTACACACATACACACTTCTCCAAAATTAGGATCAGGGCAGACGTTAGTGGACCAAAAGACTTAACGGAGATGACCAGATGGTACAATGATTCAGAAAACTGACAGTACTACTTCAGAGAGGCAAAAAAGAAATTAAGAAATATTCTAGTTTATCTTTATAAACTTTTTATTTAAAAAATAAAATTATAAACAAAATACAGAAAAATATTGACACTTGTGATAACAAGGAAATGACTTAAACCTTAGGGCAGTTTGTTATTCTGGGAGAACAAAATCATGAGTTTGATGAAGAAATTTTATGGTACGAAGGAGGAATGTAATATTTAAGATTTATTCATAATGGGCATTTGGCATTGACAAGAAAAAAGTACTTCTATGTATACATTCAACTTTTTGCAGCATATTTACTTCACGTTACATTTGCAAACATAGGCCAAATATAGTCTAACACCATCAAAAATTAAGATATTTCTAAAATTCTGTTCACTTGGTATGAATGCAATATAAGTTTTTGAAAATAATTTTATGTTCCTACAAGATCAATTGCATTTTCACTATTTCAACAAAATTCACTGATGTTTTCTTGCCAGTTGAAGCCAAGCCTCTTCTAGACAAATGAAATACTCACACAAAGGTGGCAAATTATGAAATTATATAGTAATTTTCCCTCCTCCTCAGAGATATTAAAACTTTCAATGAAAGGATACCAGTTCTGATTACTTTTTCTTTTAGAGTAGTTAGCAATTATCAAGTGACTTCTTTTTAGAAGATGGCTAACGCATTTTCCTCTTTTAGTTACCAAAATCTTCATCAAAATCAAATACATTAAGAAACCCATACAGTAATTTCCTGAAAACTTTTCTCCATTTTTCCTATACATTTCTCAAATCAACTATTTATTCATTAATAATCTGAATTTCTTGCTTAGTTTTTCTAAATTACATCAGGGAACTATCCTAGTTTCCTGATCATCTTCCCGTTGCATTTTTCAATTATTTTATTAAAAATCAAAATAAATTACAAATAACTTCATCTTTGTTACAGTTCACTTAGATGTTTAACCTTAATTTACTGAAGGCGCAAGATTCTATGGGGCCTGTCTGTCTAGACAAACAAAATGTCAAGATTAGAAATTCTCATTCCTCCAAGAGATTCCAGACAAATCACATCTACTCAGAAGGCAGCAATTCTGTCTTAATTATCATAAATTACATTCATTCTTTTTGTCTAGGAAGATAACTAATGACAAAACAATGGAGCAGGTGAATTTCACTCAGTGACATGGAATTTTCTTCAGGTCGTTACTTCTCCTCCTGTACATAACGGCTGGCAGTTGGCAGTAGGTTGCTGAGTGGATACCACTTCTAAGTCAGATTCGCGAACAAAAACCACTGCATCACCACTAACGTTAATAAGACACTGTGCCTGTAAGAACAACACACAGGATGGCTCAGTTACACTCAGCACTACGCTCTTAGGCTTCCATTACGCTGGCGGCAGCGCTGGGTAGGTGAAAAGCACACAGGCTTGTAAATCAGTACGAAAGAAATGCAACCTGATAGGAAAAAAGGAAAAGGGTACAAGGACAATTCACAGGGAAAGAAACTCAAAGAGCCAAGGTACATATGCAAAAATATGCAAGCCCAATATCAATCAGAGATACAGAAATTACAATGACAGTGAAAGATCATTTCATATATATTGACCAAAAAAGGGTAAAGGTTGATATTATCAAGTACTAGTTAAGATATGAGGCAACAGAAACACAAGCTGCCAGGGGAAGAGCCACCACTTTGGAAAACAGTTTGACAGTATCTCAAAGCAGAAAGCGTACACACTTTGTGAGCCAGCAGTTCCAGTCTCCTATATTAAAATATGTACTCTTAGGGAGAAATGTTGGGGCACATATGCAAAAAAGATTAGCATGTAGTATTTCCCTGCAGCATGTTTGCAACAGAAAAATCCGAAAACAACTTAATCATCAAGAAAATGAAACAAGCTAGGCGTGGTGGCGCATGCCTGTAATCCCAGCATTTGGGAGGCTGAGGCAGGAGGATCACTCCATGTTCCACATCAGCCTGGGATACAAGGTGAGCTCAAGGCCACCCTGAACTGCATAGCGAGACCCTGTCTTACAAAAAAAAAAAAAAAAAAGAAAGAAACAACACTCATGTCTAAAGTTAAGCAGAAAATAAGTGACATGAAGCTCTATCAGTATGAATAAATCTCATAAATGTCACAATGAATCGCATAATGATCTCAAATACGGAGAAACTTGGGAAGTATTATGAAAACTACAAAGGCATAGACACTGATCTTGCAATTCTATCATAAGGAATTTTCAGATAGACTCATACTTGGCTAATCGGTTACATTTCATCTGTTCTTTGTAATACTGTGTATATTAGAATAATATTCCTTAAAAACAACCTAAATGTTCCCTAGGAAAGAACTAGCTGATCATACTGTGGAACATTATTCAGTTGCAACAAAGAATGAGGATTTTTTTTGCCCTCAAATGGCACAATTGCTAAGAAAAAAAAATAAGTACAAGAGCAAGCTCAGTGCATGCTGCCTAGCATTTATGTAAAAAGGAGGATAAACATAAAATATATAAATATATCTGTATTATCTAAAGTCTCTCTAACATGTCTCATGCTCTGGAATGTTCCATCTCTAGAAGGAACTTCAAAACAAACCAGCTCACAGCTCTGGGTGCATGTAGGGAAGTCACTGGCTGAGACCAAGCACAGGGAGAAACTTCTCTTTTAATACTCTTCAAATTCTGAATAATTTGCTACCCATTCAAAAATATATTAAAAAGATTTTAACTATTTACATGCATATACTTTTAAATAAACTATTTACTAGAGTAAAATCAAGAAGGATCCATTCAGAGGGAAGAGGAAATAGGGTCTGCAGAAGCTTCCACCATACTTTTAGTATTTTACTTCTGAAGCTGAGTGTTAATGTTAAACCACCACACATTTTTTGAGTTCATGCAAGATCTCACTATAAAGTAAAAGTGGTCCCCAAAAGGAAACTGCCATGAAGTATAGCACCTCCATGTGCATGTGAGTGATGATCAGTACCTGACAGCTACGACGCTGGTACGGGGGGAGGGCTGGCAGTGGGAAGGCCCATAGCAGTCGGAAACCAAAAAATGGGGATGTGTTCTAGCTTTTCTATTTATATCCTTGTACTGTGCACTTACATTCAGTAAGCCTGTTTTCTCACCTGAACATGCTGCCAAGTGCTAGAGATGAAAAAAGGCGGGGTGCACTTGGAGAGCTAAGCGACATGCTTGGAGAAGAGGGTGTGTAAATGTTGAGGGGTGATCAGGAAGAGACGAGTCTGAAGAAGTAGGATGAGGCCCAGTGGTGGGAGACACAGAGGCTTACATCCTGTCCTAAGTCACTGAAGACTTTCTGACGTTTACAAGGTAAGAGTCACAACGTTTACATAGCACTGTACTTGCTGACTACCTGTGAGGCACATTCCATAATGAACGCATGATTTCCCCAACGTTACCCCAATATTACACATGAGGAAACTAAGACGGAGAAAAGCTGTTTTTGGTAAGTTGATCTGAGGCACTTGTTAAAGTGCTAAGTTAGTAACTTATACAAATCTAACCCTGGAAAAAGCTTAAAACTTACAAATCTTGATCTCACTGCAAAATAGTGAGGCCCAAAAGGTCCTTTTTAAAAGGACTAAATACCAGTATTGTAAAGAAGTACCCAGCTGAACAAGGTTCATGCCAACATCTGATATACGCTTTCTCTGTGGTCACATTATACCAAAGTGTTTACAGCAAATACAGTCAGGATGTGCCATCTCTGCTTTCCTGTCTACACCTGTTTTCAAATGGCCTCTACTGTAGTTTTCAGCCTCTCCTGATTTCTTCTGCCTCTCATTGGCCCTTTCTGGCTCTCTCTGCTTCTCTGTGTACACTTTCGGCCCACTCTGCACGATCTCCTTGCCTCCAAATCTTAACGAAAAGCTGCCACTGAATGTAAACTTCAATCAAGAAGTCTCACGGAGCTCTAGGTACGCTCCACTCTCCACCAGGAGTTCCCCAGGATGTTTAACAGGTTTTCTTCCCCGCTGGAACTTGCCTGAGTTGTTGCAAAAATTTATCAGAAAGCTATCCTTTAATTTCATTGCATCATTATTTTTCTTCAATGTGTATTAAAGAAGTGTAATACACTCAGTGTTAAAAAAGTATAAATTACCAAGAAAAGCTAAAAACAGCAAAGGAAGCACTTTTCTGGAGAAACTGATTCAAACTAACAATTTCAAAATAAAGCTAGTAAGACCATTTTGAATCCTCATAACGTCTTTTCAAATTTTCTATATATTTATGGTAGCATTTAATAGCACTAGAACATAATTTTACCTGTGAATAACTAGGGGTATTAAGAATTTTGATGCTTTATCTTTGGTTACAATTATCTAACGATAAAGCTGGGAGCAAAATACCTACTTTCATACATACATGTACATGTATTCTTAGCCTGTTCAAATGATGAGTAATTAACCTACATTACAGCTTCCTAAGTGCTGTGTCTGCCCGGATATGGATCCCCTCTGCTCTAAGGGCACTCCCCTGGGTCGGAAACCTGGGAACAATTACCACTAGCCACAAGCACTTTCATGTATTTACTGTCGTATGTCATACAAACAATACAACTTTTCATGTGTGCCCACAGGAGCAGGGCAGGAAGCACGGCTTTCCTGATAGCTCCTATGACTCATACCACATTTTTAAGAAAGTTTAATAATTTTAAGTGCATTACTATCCTAACTCAAGATCAAATAAAAAACTTTATTATCGAATTACTCTAGCCCTTCTACTGCCCATTAATAAAATTATATTACATAATAAAAACGATGAGGCAGTCTGGCCCCATTGTGAGATACGCTTCACCCGTGCGACAGCACCATGGTACACGCGAAGGGAGCCTTTCCGAACACCCACCACGCAAGGGGTGACCACGGTAAGGCAGGAACAGAAACTCCAGGAATAGTTAAGACTAACTCACCAGGGATGTGCAACAGCATCTGAGCTGTGTATGACCATGGTTATTTTAAAAACTCATTCAGATGTATTTTAAGTACCTGGACTCAACCAGCTTTGAAGAGTAGTCTTTTTTTGGACAGGGATGGAGGTGGGTGGCCACAGGGCAAACTGTCAGGTTGCCCTCAAATCAGGCTCTCAGCCGCGTCTCACCTGGTTTTTGTTTGGGTTCTCCATGAAGACACACTGCTTCATGATGTAGGAGACTACAGCGTTCCCTCCTAACGCAGCCACGTGAGCGCGCACCATCGCAAAGACCTCAGCGATGAAAGCGTGGAGAAAACCACTGACGCCCCCTTCCTAAACAACAATGCACATAAAATCACATCATACACAGTGTGTGAGAATGTGCACAAGTTGTCAAAGAATAGGTATTAAGGCACCCTAAATGATCTTGAACAGGCAATAATTTAAATTTGTCACAGTGAGCGTTTACTGCATGAATGAACACATTTTTACTGGAGACATATCTGCTCAGCAATTTACTATCCATACTTTAAACTTTAAGTCCAGTAGTTTGGGGAGCCTTTTCCATGTTCAAAAAAAAAAAAAAGAAAACAAGCCGGGCATGGTGGCGCACTCCTGGAATCCCAGCACTAGGGAGGCTGAGGCAGGAGAATTGTTGCAAGTTCGAGGCCAGCCTGGGCTATAAAGTGAGCTGAAGGCCAGCCTGAACTGCATAGTGAGACCCTGTCTCAAAAAAAAAAAAAAAAAAAAAAAAAAAACCCAGAAATCAAAGGCTAGTCAATAGTTAAAAATGCCTTTCAATCCAAATTTTTCATGAATTCTACTGGAGGTTATATAGGAAATGTCCAACTTTAACGTAGCAGTTAAGGAAAACGTGAGTTATAAAGCTGTTTTATTAAATCAAATCTTTCTAAAGAACAAAAGACAGTCTATGTAGTTCACTAAAGTGATATCTTTTTGTAAAGACTTCACTGAGTTCTTTCAGACTGCTGTCAACTCAATCACAACTCAAAACTTTTGTTCTTTTACAAATTTCCTCCTACTCATTAAATCAAGACATTCTGAAGGTTTATAGATTAACTTTACGAGGAAAAACGAAGACAATAACTCATCAAGCAATGAATACACTTGCCATATGCGGCTATAAAGTGATCACTGAAAGTCTTTGCTGAAAAGAAATCTACCATGGAGCAGTGTTTTGGGGATGGGACGTAAGCGGTGGCGAAGATGTCAGAAATCACATTTTTATGAGTGAGCTGGGTGCAGTGATGCACGCCAGAGTTCTGGCTACCCAGACCCTGTCGCAAATATTAATTTTTTCAGCAGGTTTGTTTTGTAACTAAGACATAATGTCTAATTTCTTTTTGCTTGTGTCTGAATTCTCGCCTTAGGGAACATATAACGAGATGACTCTAGCTATGAACCTTAGTTATGTCAAGTAAAATTTTACCACCGCTGTTACTTGCAAAGAAATTTAAGTTTAATGATATCTCATGTGAGGTAAGAGTACGAAGCAGATTCTCAAACACTACTGGAAAGAGTGAAAATTAGCAGCTTCATTCTCTTTTCAGAGAGAAAAAACAAAAAGTTCAAATTATGTAAGATAAGTCCACACACATATATATTAACTACTGAGAAAACTAAGCTTTGCTTTCAGGGCTGCTTTAAACTTCTAATCAAGCAGAGACAATTTTACTTGCTTTACTAAAAGATGAAGATCTAGAATTTCTAACAAACTGGTTTAAACTTAACACAACTCTGTGGTAACACTAGCTGCTTTATGAAATCCAGTAAGTCTAATATAGAATCAATTCAGATAGGCTATTAAAATGCAAATAAATAATATACACACATTTGTCAGAGGAAAATAATTTGAAATTTGGCTTTATTATTAAATCTTCAATCAGAGAAAATCATTTTTTTAAAAAAATAACCTTTTTTATTACCTCACGAAGAGAAGTGGTTTCCCGAATAAAAAACATGTTAATTATCCCAAGATATTTAGTTATTTTTGCTCCCGGAATGAAAGACAGAGGTGTCATCCTAACAACCCCAACTGTAGAATTTGCACAAGGCGGAGCGGAGCGATTCCGGAAATTTCCTTCACCCACTGGACTTGCTTTTTCAACTGTCACAGCTAAAATGGAAGAAAGGAGAGAATATATTAGAAACAGACATGGGTAAAAGGAGATTATTTCCTAAGGCTTCCGAAGTAAGTGGTGACAACATTCAGCTTTCTGTGAGGCTAAGCCATGTCATGAAAGAAAAGAAATTATCATGCACGGCATGCAATTAAAAAAGAGAGAGAAAGGAAAACGTATGAGAAAATGCTGCAATGGAAGTCTTTGGAGGAAAAAATGGCATTCCTGCAAAAGAAAATGTCGATGCAGTGGAGCTACACACACAATGATTGGTTACAGAGTGAAGAAAAAGAAAAAGCGGCAGAGCATTAAAATTATCTGCTGCAGGAACAAATTATTACACAGAGAGTGTGAAAGTTGTTGTATTTCCCAGTACAGTTCTTTCCATCTTTTTCGCACGGCTTCTTCCTTGTCAACTTGTAGATAAACCTAACTTGTAGTTAACTACTTGTAAACTACTTCCTTTCCAAACTGAGCTGATTAATCAAACTCATAATTTTACTAAGGACCTTGGCTGTCTAAAAGTTGTTTAAGAATTAAGAAAATAAAAGAGCTATCACTTACTAAATAACTGCCATAAGCTGGACATTATATATATATATATTATATATGTTATATATATATTCCTCAAATAACCTAGCAACATAGGTTATCATGGTCCCCATTTTACACATGAGGAAACTGAAGCTCAGAGAAATTAAAAAGCTCACTCAAGGTCATATAGCTATTAAACTGAAACTTCTAGATTTCAAAACAATCTGAATGGTCCCATATTCTGTGATTCTTTCTCTAAGATGAAGTTAATGCCTCCTTTTATGTAAACTTTCGCTTAAATACAGTTACTTCAAAATCTACCAAAACACATGGGCTCTAAATAACCTAAGAGGAATCACCCTGAGCCTACCAGATAAATGAGTTAACTACTTTCTCTCCAGAAGTACTTTACTCTTTCAGCCCTCTGGATATCACACTCAGTAAGTCAGCAGATGCCATTTGCTGAATAGTATGCTGGCTCCTAGACAAGTGTCTCCTCGGTAGAAAAGCAGGTGATTTCCTTCCATCTACTACTTGTGTAACGTTTTAAAAGAGTTCTATAGTTAAAATTAACAAATTGGAATGCCCTTCTGAGGTACTGCCCTACTCTTTCTAGTGACCAGTAGGGTCTGCAGCTTTCACACTCCAATACATGATTGATCAGCAATGTTACTACTAGGAAATAAGGTCTAGCCTTCACCACTGGGAAATCAGGGATATGCTTCTCAGATCATCATAATGTGGTAGAAATAGCCGCCTACTTGTCTTAATTGATCCGCGCCTTATGGTCTGAGCTTTCAGTTTAATGAGCTCTATCCAGCTGCTGCATCTGTCTGCAAAGGAACTGTAATCAACTGACGTTGCTGAAAACACAGACAGAAAACAAAACAACAACAAAAAAAACAAAGAAAAAATATGGATGACGTCTCTTACTCGTCATAACACTCCTTCCGATGATGTAATTTAACTGTAACTTAGAAAAAGAATGGTCCTTTTCAAGTCAGAGGAGAACAGTGGTCAAGTCAAGCTTTAGACACTGATTTGTCCACAACCAAGTTCAGTGAGCTGGCTGAGCACTTTCTGGTGATGTCACAGTTGTATGGCCTCTCAGGGCGAAAGTTAAGTGGTGTCTAACGTAAGTATCAATGAAAGGACCACATGCTGTGCTTTAACTTCATTCCCATCCTTTAATTTATAGTAATTTAGTTGTTTATATTTTAGGATCTGAATTTACAACACAAGCACTGTGAATAATCCTCTTCCCTATTTTTACCTTAAAATAAAAAATAAACTGAATGAGAATCGGTCAAAAGAATACTTGAAAAAAAACTAACTAGCTGATTTATCTATTATTAAACTATCTTCTTTCCACCATCAGTAAAAAAGCCAAAGGGTCGTTTCTGTCAGTACTCTGTGTCTGATTTTTGCCAGCAAGGCTCTGATAATGCTGGGGAGAGGCAGGTGCGAGCCTAACGAACGCGTTTTCTGTAACAGTAACTTTCACACTGCTAAACTAAAAAATAAATGAAGAATAAAAACAAGATTAGCTAAAATTTTATTTTTAGAAATTGGGAAACTATTAAAATGCTAAAACAGTTAAATATTTAAATGAATTTTTAAAAAACGAATGCTAACTACAATAAAGCCTCACTGTGGTGTTTATTCCATTGTCTCATGCCTTTCTTTGATGTCTATAATTTTATGCACCACCAAACTAGAACTTCCCATCTTTGGTGACTACTTGCTAAATGAGACGAACTCACCTCTCTGTGCAGCGGGTATACCTGAGTTAGAACTTGCACTCTCCAGGTGTTCTAATAAGACAATATGAACAACATTAGCTGGGATGCTAAGTACAAGCCAGTATCTCTTCTTTGTTAATATCTTCTACAAGCCAGGAGAATAGGAGGAAAGCTTTACGGGTTCATATAAAAGCAAACCAAACAGAAGTATTTAGGCTTACAATGCAGTTTCTGCTCACAAATGAAAACTAGCTCAGTTATTAAATCCCATGTCCACAATGACTGCTTGCTTACTGTAACATACAATGAGTTTCAGAAAGTTCAGTCATGAGAAAATACAAAGATGTAGTAATGAGGGTGAGTAGAATGACAGCGGACTGTAAGCTCAGACAGAGAAAAGGGTCAGTGTGTTGGGAGGAATACCTGACATCAAACCGGGGAGGGAAACGTCTGGAGGGGTAAGAGCCAGTAAGACTAGAGATTATAAACAAGATGACCTAAGCTGCAGCCCTAACCCTCCTCCTCAGCACTAAACTCCGCTTGTAACTTAACTATCAACAGCTCCCTCTAGTGGTAGTAAGATGTAGACGGAACAGGTGACTGATTAATCCCAACCCAGAATCGCTCCATTTTCCAGAAACCTCATGGAAGTAGCATCCAAAATTTTCCCTGACATTTTACATTTATTACAGCTATTTCAGGTATTATGCAAATTTAACAACATTACAAAAAAGTTAAAATCTGTTCTTAATGCTCATGCTCTAGTCACACTAGCCTATCTGAATTTTTGCTACAAAGAATTTTACAAAAGGAAGAAGAGTGTTGCCAGTTTAAAAAAAACCTGAATAACACTGAGACTCATTTGGGCCAGCCAGGGTTTTGTTCTGTTTTACAAACTATAAATACAGAAAATATATTTTACATCTCTACTTACTGTGCTGATGTTTTGGAAGTATTTTTAATCAATAAAATTAAAGTAAAATATGATTAGTACAGAATGTTTCTCCTGTTTGGAAGAAGCTCCTCCTCATCCTGACCATTTCTCTAAAGCAAATAACCACTAGTTAATGCTGCAGTGTGGACAGAGGTTGACAGTCCTGTAAGGGCACCAGGCTGTAGGCTGCCCTGACACTCACATCCGCAGACTGCAGATCTAGTTGGGAAATCTTCCTAATTCAGGATCTTGAGCAGCTCTGGAAGCCCAGAAGGAAGAAGTCCAGAACATACCTGACAGTCACAGGCTTACCAGATTTCTAGGGTAGCTCAGGATAGGAATGCTTCAGTGCTGAGACTGGACGGCAACAGGCCTGCCTCTCTTGGGCTTATATGCTTATCTCAGAGAGCGCCAGGGCTCTCTGGGTTACTGTCGCGGACAGCACACACTCATTGGGTACAAAAGTACAAAAAGCATACTTGGAACTAGGGATTCTATGAAAGCTTTTAATGCAGGGCAAAGGGGAATGGCCAAAATAATTCTGAACATCACTGAAATGAAATTCTCTTCTATAACTCAGTACTATGAGGGTAAGACAGAACTCCCTTAGCAACTGTGTATGATTTGGGAAGGGAGGGGTGTTTAATTCCTGACTTCAAATATAAAGGCATTTGAGGTAAAACCTGAAAAACGTAGTTTTAAGCTGGAGACATTCTTCAGAGGAAGGCTGAGGGAGACTTCTTAACCCCACCTGAGGAGAGCGGGGTTATCTACGGACACACTTGCTGTGATTTCAGTTCTTCTCTTACCGAAAAGCCTGGGATGAGCCAGTCCTGGCAGCAAACGGACACCGGCATCTCAGATTGGTTTGAATATCTGAAATCTCTGCTGCCTCAGCCTCTCAGCCCCTCTGCCCTCTCTCGTTATAGTCTGGCCTCCAAAGTAACAGGCTTTCAAAAGGGAAGGTACCGCAGATAGAGCAGTCTGGCTCACTGACAAACTGGTGGTTGATAATGAAAGACAACAGATTTCATTATTTAAGGGTAGAAAATCTCATTAAAAGTCATTGTGGCTTTGCCGAGGGCTTAAATGCTCAGTTCCGTGCCACTGTACAGTCGAAGGGTCTGAAGCAAACACTTCTCACGTGGGATCCACATTCCAGCCTTGAAGAGAGCCTCGACACACACAGCAGTCTACTCTGAAGCTTTCCTTTCCCATCTAATACAAGGAAAAGCTTATTTTGTGCGTGTTTTTAAAATAAATCCATCATTAAGTGATAGCTCTATCATTCCCAAGTAAACAGCCCTAGGAACTTAACAAAAAGCAAACAGGACCACAGAGAGCTTTATTATTCTCGTACTGCAGTTTCAGCAATACTCAGGGGTGTGAGGAGGGAATCTACCTCAGACTAAAAGCAGCTCAATGGAAACCAGTGTACCGATGACAAAAGGAGAAAACATGGCAAGGGTGGTTCCTCCCTCAATGACACGTTTTCCGAGGCTTCGGAAGCTTGAGACTCTTGCATCCTTCTGAATGTGTCATAACCAACGACAAAGGTATTGGCTAGGTAAAAACCATTCTATGGCTTGAATACTCATTTCCTCTAAAATCTGTTGAAATTTAACTGGTATTGTAACAGAAGAAATGGGACCTTTAAGAGGTAAGTTGGCCATGGGGGCTCCATAGCAAGACCCTGTCATAAAAGTTTTAAAAAGTTTAAAAGGGGTGGGGATGAGTTTAGTCCTCAGTACTGAAAGAAAAAAGATCGGGGCTCAAGTTCAGTCCCCTCTTGCTCTTCATTTGTACCATTTCTCCATGCTCTGCTGCAGTAAGGCCTCAGCCCAGAGGCTGATACCCTGATACTGGACCTCCCGGCCTCCAGCACCACAAGCCAATAAATTATGTTCTTTATATATTGGACTAAGAGCTGAAATAAAGTTCTATACTGGTCACTAATTCTTTTGACTTTCTATTCATTTCATATCAAAAGAATTTACAGATCCTCTCTGCTCTGAATTTAAGAAATCTGAGACAATCTTATCTTGACATCTTTTTTTTTTTTTTTGTAACAGGAATTGAACTCACGACCATGCGCTTAGCAGGCAGGTGCTCTGCCTCTGAGCTACATCCCCGGGCCCTGGACATCTTTTTAAAACTTACTAAAACTGAAAAAATTCCCCCAAATAAAGATTTTTCTGGCAGATTAAAATATAGACAAGCTGCAGTCTAAATTTTATGCTTTACTGTCCCATTTAAACATTTTTAGTTTTAAAGTAATGTGATCAAAATTGGGTTTTATGTTACTTTAGGCATTTCCATCAATCTACAATGTATTGATTGGCTGCCATATAACTACAAAATCTGGCTTAATGACTCAATTACAAATGATGCACCTGACTATTCGGTGTAAATCTATCCACAATCATAATCAAATATTGATGGATGGATAACGGAATTGCCGTATTATAAATTATTAAGATACAGAGGAAGATGGAAATAGTTTCCATTTGGACAGTTCACAAAGGAAAAGTTCAATAGCAACAAATAGGGAATCCGCACATTAAATGATTATGATAATTAACTTTTCTACTTGGGCATTTAAGTCTCCAATTAGAAGTATACAGTATCCTCAGTCCCTTGTCTTTGAATCTTTAATCCCCCCTCACATGTTCGAGCTTCCACTTCTAGGGATCCACTCTTCCTCCTCCTCCTACTGCTCTTAAGACCTTTCTTCTAAATCATCTGGGTCATCGCTTTTTACTCCCTCTGCCTCTGGATTCACTGACATCAGGCTGCCCTGCAGAAAACAGAACAAGAAAGACTCTCTACACCTACTTTCCCCTCATTCCTTTGCTTCCTCCTTCTCATTTCTTTGGGGAGTTTTTGCTAACTTTCCTCTCTTTAGTTTCTATTTTCCTCGTTCTCTGCCCGCTTCAGCAGCTCTCTCATTTCCAGGCCTGTCACTAAGTTTTCTGGCCATGTAATAACCCAGAGAACACGAGCACTTTGTTGCTGCTACTCTGAGGCTAAAATGACAAAGTAAATAGTGCTTTTTAAAATAAGAAAAAGCAGACATGAAATGTTAGAATGGAAAGATATTTTTACTTAGCTGTGCTAATAATGAATTATATATAGTTAAGAATTCACAATCATTAGCAGGAAAAAAGCTAATTTTTACAGTTTTTGTGGGTTTATATTTCTAATTGCTGGTTTAAAATAATGTTAAGAAAGTCATAAGTTGAAAGTTTATACACTATCTTAAAATCAAATTTGGTTTAACAAGAAGAAAAGGTAACTTTTATAGTATACTATAGATAAATGTCCAATGTGGATACCTAATTATGGAATACAATGCATTCTAAGTCAACTTGTTTTCTTTCACATTGAAAGCCAGATTTTCACCTATGCTTGCTACGTCACTCAGCAGCAATTATTAATGGTCCTCCTGCCACCCTATAGCTTATGCCACCGAACAGGAGGAAAACACCCAGCGTAAAGCAAAAGGAAAGCACAAAACCGTGTTAAGTATGAAAAAGTCTCTTCCATAATTTTATTCAATAGCATACAGAAATTTTCCCAATTAAAATTTTGTAAAGTATTAAATTATCAGTATTTTAATGTAACTATTACTGCCTATAGTACCACATACCTGATGAGCTTTTACTTTTAAATTTTAGTTACGGTACTAGAGATTGAACCTAGGGCCTCAACTATAATCTATAGAACTTTTTTTTCTTTACCTAGGCTTCACTCTTAGTGCATTTACTGTCTCATCTTTCTACATATGTCATTTTTAAAGGATTTTGAAAACCATTTCAGAGAAAAACAGATATGGATATCAATAATGAGAAAAAAATCATCAAACTGATATAAGAACTTTGCTATCAACATGACTTTTCTTATAACATAGCCCCAGGTAAACATAGATGACTTATGTTGACAGGAGATCAGCTATGTTCTTCGGAGCATCTATCAAAGAATTTTGATGATCTCAAATGATAATACCCTTAAAAGAAATTATTAAAGCTCAGCACCTTTTAATATTTCAAATAAAAAAAAATCAAGATAACTAACAAGGTAACACCACATCAAGCCTAGATTTGAGATATACTATTTTGTTACTTGCGAAACAAAACCAATATAATAAATGATGTAAGAAAAAAGTTGAACATGGATGGACAATTCAGGCCCAGGCCGACTCCACACAGTGAACTAGGACATACGTACGTTGAGCATCATTTCTTTCTCATGACATTTACCTATTTTCAATAACATAAAGGTGGGGCTGGGGATTTAGCTCAGCGGCAAAAGCGCCTGCCTGGCAAGCGCAAGGTCGTGAGTTCAGTTCCCGGTACCGGAGAAAAACCAAAAAACAAAAAAAAACAAAAAAACAAACAAACAAACAAAAAATAACATAAAGGTAACAAAAGCCTTATCTACAAGGGTAAAGATGGAAGCATTAATAATCATACTATGCTTAGCTCTTGAAACTACTCTCCCTGTCAAAATAAAAGGAAATAAATTTTATAAAGCATCCATTTGTGATAAGAACATCAAATGTAAACTAGGATTCAGTTACTAGATTAAAAAAAAAACAAAAAGCCATCAGCTTAGCTAGCCAATGAACAGAACTATAAAAACTATACATTTACCAACATCAGTAATTGACCTGTAAGCCTCCTGTGACTGCACAGAAGAAAACAGACAAGACTTTTGAGCATTTACTGTTAACACTCTTACCTTTCTCTCTTGCTTCCCCTAAATTGCTAAGCTTGAATTTTATAGACATTTCTCTTCTCCATTTAACACTGTCCTTTCCATCATGTTAACAACACATAATTAGTCCATTAATGTAATAAGATGCTAACACTACGTATGTCAGACCTCCGCAAAACCCATCTTACCCTCAAATCTGCCAAAATGCTTTGAGGTAACTTTTAAAGACATACTTAGCTCATGTTTTCCTGAAAAGGTTTGAGGAATCAAAGACAATAAATAAGCATGCAACACAACCACAATGTATCGAACTATTTATGAAAAGGTACATGTACACTTTTAAGTGTTTACTGATGATTTTAAAATGTTAATGTTCAAGAAAAAGCACATAGATTTTGCAGTTAAGGATTTAGTATAAGAAGTTGTACATATATATTAGTATTAAATGTGATGAAACTGGTAAGTTATGATGACAATGATAGAAGTGGCATGGTCTGATTAAGTAGTTTTCAAACTTTAAAAACTCTTTCTTCAAATAATATACAAAACCAACGTGTACAAGCCACGGAGTTGAAGCTGTTCTGAGCCACAGGTAGAGCACCCAGAGACCTATCTTCTCCCCGCCTCTCCTCCTTCCACCCTGAGGACCCCTGAAAATCCCCTGCGGTTTAGAGAAACAGCACTTACAACTTACTGGTTTCGTTAGTTAGAAGCTTCTTTGAAAACATCTACTTTAGCAATTACAGAAGCTACATGTGATCCCAGGCAGTAATTCAGTTTTTGTTTTTTTAACAATGTGAGCATTTAATTGAACAACTGCGAAACACAGAAACACAATGAATCACAGAAGTTTAAAGACTAGAGAAAATTTTAACCCTTTCCATAGTTTATCCATGGGAACGCTAAACTCCTACAGCTGACCAACAGCATAACTCACTAGGCATCTGTCGCTTTTCCAGCCCACCGCAGAGCCCAGCCACACGGCCTACAATCAGTGGCAAATATTTCACAGACTGCTCAAATACGACTTTCTCTGCCCAATGCTTCTTACCTTGTTCTTTAGTTCACAGCGCCATTTTGCGCTAATGACCACACAACGCGTTAGTTACAATTACCTTTGAAACGCTTTGAAAGCAATCAATACAGACAAGGCAAACCCACAAAGCTTAAATCTAACCTTCTGCAGAATTTAATAGGTTTTAACAACAGGGTGAAATTGCACTAATACAGACCTCAGTTTCACCAATAGCTGGCCCTGGAGGTTAGCTATTGTTCAGTACTTTTGTTGACTAAGTCTTAGGGAGTTTTTGTCCCCATTTCAAAGTAAGGAGAAATGACATGCTTTTTGTTTAGCGCTTATATTTAATTCAGAAATCTGAACTCAAGATTACCTTTGGTTTTGGTTTGTTCCTCTCTGTTCTTTGAAGGAAGTTGAGAAATGCTAAAATTCTCTATGGAGCTCTAAATTAGAATTTTATATGTTGACAAAAAGGCAAGATGACCAGAGTTACTAGGTAAGAAAGTTCAGAATCTAAAAACACCTTTTCTTTTAACTTTCAAAATGAGACAATATCCACTTATCTGCATATATAGGCCTTGGACTTATTCAGTAAAGATTCTACTAACATACACGCAATGTAAATACAAAACTACTCTGTTTTATACATAATTTGGTATATAAAATAATTAACAAGTAGGAATCAAAAGAATTTCACTAGCATTACAAAATATAAAGATTAGAATAGTTGAATGATTTTAAATAACAAAAGCATCATTTCTGAAAATAAAATTTAGAAAAGCTACAAATGATATTTATTAAATATACAACAAAATTAGATACAGTAGTTGTGAAAAGTCATATAATCAAAATTGCACCAAAATCAGAAGGTAAATAGAAAAAGATACCTTCCACATTTCTCTAAAGACTACACAGATAAAAATAAATTTATTTGCAATAAATTAAGGAATTATTTTGCATTTGAAAAACTGGCAGGTGTCTTACATAACAATGTTCTTTAATTATAGTTAAACAAATAACAGGCAGGGAACTCATTTCTGCCTCACTCATATAAAACAAGCATTCTGTTATCTGAAAATCCCCAAATTTTTGAAAGGTTCAAATATTGTTGGAATGATTTACTAAATACTGTATGTGTGAACAGTTATGCTGGGAAATTCTTTAGGGATGTAAGAATGAAATATTGTATGAAAAAATTAGTTTAACAATTTATGCTGACATTACTTGAGACATCAAGAACATGACTTTCTCCCATTCATGGACATAGAGAAATACAGAATGAAGGAATAAAGGGTAAGTCTCAAGATTATGAAAGACTGCGTATAATGAAACAGCAAAGAAAGGAACCAGAAGCTAGTATGTGTGTTTGCATCTCTGTTATGCAACCAACCTTTAGCTGGAGGGAAAGGATGGGAAGGAAGCGACTCTGAACACAGTTCCAGTGGAAACTGCAGGAGCTCTTCATTATCTGTAGAAGCTTGAGGGGCAAGGAAAACACCTGTTATTTTGTAATGACCTATGGTTAACTTTTCAAAAATTAAGAATCTATGTCAACGTATGTACTTGGGTGTGGGTTTTTTTTTCTCTGCCTCATTCCAATTTATTCTGGCTGTACTTGCCCTGGCTTCTTCCTTGAGGACCTTTCATCTGCACAGTGATGAGTGGGGTGTTACCTAGCTTGATAGGACGGTTATGGATTTTAAAGGATTAATGCCTCTAAATCACTTTGAATAGCGGCTTGAAAATAGCAGGCACTCAATAATAATTATTATCTATACTTATCAGTTTATATGACACAACAGATGTTAGCTACTTTTGTTGATAAATACCTAACACAATCATTTAATACATCTGTCTAACATGAACGCGATGTGCAAATCTTATTGTTAAAAGTCTAAAAACAGCATTCCTCATATAAATACCATCTAATCATGTGTGAGAAATATCGACAGCCTTTTGTATATCTACAGTTATTTTAATAAACGTGAAAAGTGACAAATATCTCTTCAAAACGTAAGTTGCTTATTTAGCTGCCTCTACATTTTAATGAACTGCAATGTTCACAGACTGAATTTCCCATCGATCAAAGTTTACCTCTTTGCAGTGACTTCTCAACGTGCGTTTTTGTGGTCTGCAAAGCCTGATTTTTGTCAAAAGTTATTGCAACTGCTGTGACTGTAACCTAGAATGAGAGAAACAGTTGTCATTAGCACAATAATCATTCCAAAAATTAAGTTTCTCACAAATTTTTCAGCATTGCAGAACAACTTACATCAATTGGCTAGTCTGCCTTTCCTGGTTAAGATTTTCAACCAGAATTGTAGATGTCTAGGCATCTAAACTAAACCAAGGTTAACATATACAGCTACACCTAGATATTACCAGGAGCCCTTTCCAAAAGATGGGGACTGTGAAATCCCTCGTAACGAGTACTCATTCTGTTCTATGTATTTTGGAACAGATTTCAGAGCACATCTTCAGATAACCAGAAGTCAGAAAAATGAAAAGAATGACCTGATTCATAATAAATGTATGTTTTAAAACATTTTGAAAACAGTATGTGCTTAAGTTCTTTAATTATGGCAAAATTACAATATTAAATTATCATAAAAGCTAGAAACCTTCTTTAATAATAAACTGATTCTCAATTACCTGAATTAATTCATCTTCAGGCAGAGACACGGTGAAATTTACATGGCAAAGGCAGCAAGGAATCATAGATCGGAGTTTAAAATACAGGCTCTGCACAACAGAAAACATTAGCAATGTCACTTCAATCAAAACGTATAAACTCTGATTTTCTTAATATATACTACGTTAATGCGAGCAAAAAAGATGAAAAGATAAAATGAAAATGCCCACTTCTGTTTTGTCTATTCTTACATTAAGGTTATAATCTTAATACTTAAACAGAGAAAAAGATGTAATATTTGTAAATAAGTCATAAAATACTATAATAGGCTTTTTAAAAATTTGCACATATATTATTAAACTTTTACCTCTTTACTGTTTTTCTCTTATAGTATGATCTTTTATTTATTTATTTATTTATTTTTATTTTTTGTTTTTTTTCTCCGGTACTGGGAACCCAACCCACGACCTTGCGCTTGCCAGGCAGGCGCTTTTGCTGCTGAGCTAAATCCCCAGCCCCAGTATGATCTTTTAAAAGAGATCATACTCACCTGATAACAAAGGTAAGATGGGTAGATTAATTATATAAAGTGTTATAGACAATGTAATTATCGTCTGTAATTTCATGATTCGGGGAGAGGGCTTTTAAATAAAACTTAATCAGACAGTTCCTACCTTGAGCAAATTTTCACACAGATCATTAAAATGCTTATTGAGAGCTTGATTAGTCAGGTTAAGACTGCTTAATCTGATTACTCTCACTGATGTGAACATCTAAATGAGGGGAGACAAAACAATACACCACTTGATTATTTTTAACTAAATACTGTAACACTTGACAGAACTGCCAAGTAATGAACAATAATAAATTAATGTGGTTTTAAAAGAATAGCATTTTTAATTGCCATAGGAGGTAAAAAAAGAAATACTGTATTTAGATAAAACTTAAAATTAAAAAAAGGCTTACCTGTATTTCTGATGTCCAGTTATTTATACCAGGCATAATTTCTGTATTACAACTATAAAAGCCTGCCAAAATAAATTACAGTTAAAATATCCGAAACTATTTTACTGATTTTGGCACTAGTAACATTTTTCCAATTATTATATGAAATTTAACTTTCATTCCTCTCATTCTCTTATTGTAAACCACTGTACTTCAGGAAAATTTAAACCTTTCTAATAAATTATATGATTTTTTTCATGTATAAAGACAAAAGGACTTAGGGGCCGAGGATGTGGCTCAGGGGTAGATCTCTTGCCTTGCATGCTCAAGGCCCTAGGTTCAATCCCCAGCACCACAAAAAAGAAAAAAAAGATAAAAGGTTTTAAAAACATTTCCACCTAAATTCTATATAAATATTTCTAAATTATGTGTTTTAAACCCAGAAGGGGGAAAGAATATGACAGAATGTGATACAATATAATAAAAGCCTAAGGTTAACACTATAATAATTATGATTTACAACACTGGCATCTAAAATGAGTTTTATTTCAAAGTTGATTGCTTCCTGTTCACCTGGGGGAGGAGGAACATCAGTAAGCAGAGAATGCACATCTTCCAGGGCATCTGTGTCATCAATCTGAAAATTAGGATTAAAACTATTACATATTAGTAATAAATGTGTAACTACTTCAAAAGTTTAAAAATTACTCTTATTATTTACTAAGTAAATACGAATCCACAAAGAGCTGAGCCATTTTTCACTAAATCAAAACACATAACATGAAAAAAATTCTAATATCAGTAAATTTCTCTATCATTAAACTTTTTTGATATTTAAAACAAGGCACCGTATCAATTTAGGATCTGAATCTAAACTGCCAGAAGCTCCAAGAAAAGCTCAATGCAATTATCACCTCCAAAACAAAAGCATCCTTTTTCCCATGGGAAAGATCCAATTCTGTAACTTCGTCTGAGCTTTCTGACTGAGATCTCAGAAGTCTTGAGCGTTGTCTGGGTTCTGGGATAGGTGATCCAATAACCTCTTCAGATATCTCCTAAAAGAAATATACTTGCTTTATATCACATGAGGATTTTTTTTTTTTTGGTTAGTTATAAACTTTGATCTTTAATATTAACCAACAACTTCTAGTGGATTAAAAATAAGTCTATAAAATATATTCAACGAACTGGGTGTTTAAGTGTAACATTTATGACTACAGAAGATATTTCCTTTTTATTCATAATTACTGCCTTATCAATGCACTAATCTAGAAAGAAAACTGTCACAGATAAAACAAGGCAAAACTAACACCTATCACACAGACAGGACACTACAGAGAGCTCAGAAATTGATCATTCTTGGAGCATGTTAAAGTCCTAATGAACCATAAAGATTTAAAGATTCTCAAGATAACATACTAATCTTTTATATCCTTTTTTACCCAGTAATAATTTTTCAAAGCTTCACATAGTAAAAAGTGAAGTATGACAAACAGCAAATGTGAATCGATACATAGACACATACACTACGCGTGTACATGCAGTGCACATTATTAAGCTAAATGAGCTTTAGTAACTACAATGATGACCTTTTGACAATCAGTATATGGTATAACCCCATGTGGATTAGTGAGCTTTATCCTGTTGCACAGGCAGTCTTCTGAACTAAGTAAATGTTCTAGGTCATTGCTGGCCACAAAGAGGTATACCTCTTTGTGGAGACAAGGTAAAAATACCACAAGAAATGTGTGTACATGACCACAAGGGAAAAAGGGACAGCCTATACTGATGGACCACAGCATCTTTTTTAAAAACCAAAGACATAGGTAAGAGCTTCTCAGAAATAAATTTTTAATATTTACTGTCAGTATATACCTTGGAGGAAAGTCTACCACTGCAGTTCAGTCACATAATCCATGGATTACTTTCATATCCACCTATCTTACTTGTTTTATTTTAGTTTTTTTTTCCGATACCGGGAATCGAACTCACGACCTTGCATTGCCAGGCAGGTGCTGTGCCACTGAGCTAAATCCCCGGCCCCCCACTTATCTTATTTGTACCATAAATTATTCTGCCCTATAAATTTAACATGATGTGCATTACCATGGCCAAGCAATGAAAAACAAGAGTTACAACTCAGTAGTGAAGCAACTTGCTCATGTTTGAAAACTACATAAATGAAGAACCTAAGGTGGTAGTTCTGTCAGTGCAATGTTCTCACCACATTTTATGCTTTCACAGTAGTACAGAATTCTGTTATGCCTCTCTTCATTGCATCACTGACTCAATAAATGTAAGTGTCTTGTATTTAACACGTTTTAGATTCATGAGGTTTCATCACTAATAGTATTGGTCTAAAAGTTCTGGGTGTTATTTAATTGGTATCTTAATAAAAAACACAGTATATGCACAACTCATGTGTCTATTGAATCTGTAGAACAAATTGAGAATTATGCTAAAGGACTGTTTCTGATGTAAGGAAGGACACAAGATTCATAAACGGCTAAGTCCTTTTGTAGAAACAGTCATCTACACACAAAGTCCATATATGCTGGAATTTTTAAAATCACAATAGATTTACTCCCTCCTCAAAAACGTAAACTGTGTTACATGTAGTAGCAACTCAGTATTTGCTACACGAAGAAATAATTCACAATTAAATATATTTTGTCTTCAAGGGGCTCCTATAGTCCCTCAGTAACCACACTGGATTGGTTCTAGGACTCTCCGATATTAAAATTCTGCGGATGCGCAAGTCCATTATATAAAACGGTATAATAGCTGCATGTTACCTACACATATCTGTTTGTTGTTTATTTTCTTATTTATTTTGCAGTCTAGGAGATAAAACGCAGGGCTTCATGTATGCTAAGCAAGTAGGCAGCGCTCTATCAATGAGCTACCCTCCCCCGACACCCTCCTATATACTTTAAGTGATCTCTATATAATTTATATACCTCGTATAATATAGATACTAATAGTAAAACTAGTAGTATTAATAGTAATACTATGTTGTTCAGAGAATAATGACAAGATAAAACCTTGCTTAGTGCACACACTTAGTATAGCTACAATTTTATTTTCAAATATTTTCAATCTGATGTTAGCTGAGCCCATGGATGCAAACACATACACAGAAGCTGACTGTATCATATAATAAAGGAAGCTAAACATGGAAAACCTAAGTACCATAATACCCAAAAGACAAGATAACTGAAGTACTTAAAGTGGAATAGGAATACAATGGAGGAGGAGGCATTTTCCTGTGGGAACGGACCTACAGAAGTGATAAACTCTATTAAGTAAAAGAGTTCAGGTAATAGAATTACAACTAGTAAATGAAGAATAAATGGAGTTCCAACATGTAGCTTCACAAAGCATTCTCCTTAATCAGCATAAACGCTATGAGTAGATATTCAAGTATCAAAATACAATTACAAAAGAAAAATAATATACTGCAAATAAGCATTCAGTAATGTTAAGTACATAAACTTTTACAAAGGCTGTTTTTTAAATACTAATAAACACATCAACATGTTTATGGAAGTTAAAGAAGCTCTAAGTCAGTGTCCAATAGAACTATAAAGCTATAAAGCAAGCCATGTGGATAGTAAAAACAAAGCAGATGAAATTAATTTTAATAAAAGATTTTTAACATAATATATCCAAATATTAAAGTTTCTTTTTTTTTTTTTTTTGGTTTTTCTCCGGTACCGGGAACCGAACTCACAACCTTGCACTTGCCAAGCAGGCGCTTTTGCCACTGAGCTAAATCCCCAGCCCCAATATTAAAGTTTCAACATGTAATTAATGACAAATATTCATTCATTCTTTTTCATACTAAGTCTTTGAAATCTAATGTGTGTGCATTATATGTATGTATATTTTATTTATGTATGTATGTATTTATTATTTATTCATTTTAAGATAGGGTCTCACCATGTATTTCAGATAAGTCAACTCAAATAGTTAGAATTCAACAAAACTTTTATGTCCAAAAGAAGCTAACCCTAAAAAAATACTAATACTGAATGAAACCCATCTATCCCCACGCTGATTTCTCTTACTTACCGGAGGACTGATTTCATATAACTCTTTGTTCTTAGCAATCGTGTCATTTATCTTCTTCTGCATGTGGGAGATATGCTGCTCATATGAGCCATCGTTCGGGGTCTTCCCAGCAATCTGAATCCCACCAGGTGTTGGTAAAGCTGCTAAGTACACTCCTGTGGCAGACTTGCGAAAGGAATGGGGGATAATCAGAAAAACTACGTAAAATATATTGGTCTTTAAGTTTTCATGTTTAGAACACAGTCTTTGCTCAGTAGGAAAGACAACGAAGAATCAGCGTGTGCACAGCCACCTCTAGAAGGGCATGAAAATGTAACCGGTAACAGGGTGGTTTTCTCTGGGGAGGACCTGGCAGGGAGGGGCAGCTGTGAAAAGGGAATTAACTTTTCAGTGCGTACCCAACTGTACTTTTAACATTTTTAACCTTCTAATTATAAAAAATAAATTGCAGGCATAGCTTGGCAAAAACATAAAGAGTCAAACTTTAATGGTGACAAAAATACAAGGAAAACTTTTCTAAGTCAAGAAAAAAAAAAATTAAGTCCAAAAAAGACTGAACTTACTCAAGACCACAGTCAATAATAAATATGAGGAGATCTGAATCTAAGTGTTCTCCCCACAAACCCCAGAAGTTTTCACTGTACTGCTCTATGTCCTAATTAATTACAAAGAAAAATATTTTAGTTGATGTAGATTTGTTTTAAATATCTGATTAAGTAGCTATTAATTTCTGATGGTTTAACAGTTACTTCATACTATTATTAGTAGAAAACTACCATGGGAAATACAAGATAAAATTTATATGTGCATTTAGGTTTATACTAATACAAGCAGAGCAAAAATAAAGGATAAACATCAAACTGCTAACATCAATGGAGTAAAATGGGATATCTGCGTATTTTGAAGTTTTTGAATTTTGTTTTTGTTTTTTTGAGACAGTGTCTCACTCTGTAGTCCAGGCTGGTCTTGAACTCATGGCGATCCTCCAGCCACAGCCTCCCAAGTGCTAGGATCACATGCTTATGCCACCATGAATCATTATTTTTAAAAAATTAACCCAATGCCCATTTTGTAAAAGGCTACCCTAAAAAGGATGTGATACTCTGCTGATGTCTGCCCAGTAGAAGAAAATGATCCTTTTGATTTGCTCACTAGTTTATCACCACATCTATTCAACTGCAAGCACCCTTGCCGTGCCCACAAAGCCTTCGCACACTGTCCTTACACTTTCTTAGCCCATTCACTAAGGAGGCAAGAGCCTTGAGCGGTTAAGAACACAGAACACGCTGAGCCAGATAAAGCTGGGTTTGAAATACAGTCGCAGCACACATAACCGTAACACTTTTGAGGTGAGACCTCTCACAGCATTTGTTTTTTCCTCTTATGAAGTGAAAATAACATTACATTTGCTGCAGACTACTGGTTCAAGACACCTAGTAGCCACTCAATCAGAGTATTAGCTACAATGGAGCTACTCTTGCAATCTTGGCATTTAAATGCACAAATTATAAGATGGCACAAAGATCAATATGCCAAACAGTTACAACTCTTGTCACTAGTGATCAAGAAGGAACAGATTAACATGAATCAGCAAAGCAGCATTATTTGAGGCAGACCTTATACCTGTATCATCTACATGGGATTCAACCATCAGAAATATTTGGTACTGTTGGCAAAGTATTTTTCAACCTTTCAATATGAATTCACGTCTTAGTTTCCATAGGCATTCACCGATTACTGGTCTTGTATTGGGCATGAATTACAAATATGTCATTCCTTGTTAAGCACGCAAATTTCTACATCACTGAATTAAAATGAACACTTTCCCGAAATATCAAATATCTTCATATAAACCAGAATGCCTTCATTACATAGTTCTCTTGCTAAAACATTAGGATACCTAATCAGTTTATCACATCATACAATAATTCCCTTCATACAAATATTTATGTATTTGCTTTTATACAAGGACACATGAAAAAAGAAAACTAGTTGGCTTTTTAACTAAAAAGTATACTGAGAAAAGGATTCCCTTCCCTAAATTTCTGAAAATTAAGTATCTCTGCATATCTTAGAAAGATAGCGGAAGAATTCCAATTAAAAACTGCCAGTGACACCGACAAAAATTCTGGCTAGCAAAATGCTAGACATGAGAGGACTTCCACAAATATTGATCTGATTTTATATGATCAATTTGTTTCACAGGTACCTAGTTTTCTGGGTCTCTTGCGAAGAGGCAAAACTCTTTCCACTGATGTCTTCCCAGTAAGAACTCTGTACACTAGAGATATTTTTCTGACTCACAGTTCATCAGGCCTTAAGAACACATATTCCATTATACATTTCACTGTTTGTCACAAGTGCACATTTACAATAAACCTTAATTCTTTAATAACAGGCAGCATATCACATGTTTTGCTTTATTTTCTCCATTAAAACTAAACATTATTTTGGCATACAGTCCTCCGAGAGAGGCAATTTTGCCCCACATGGCACATTTGGCAAAGTCTGAACATTTTTTGGTTGTGACAGCTGGAAGGCACCATTAGCATGTACTGGGTAGAGGCTAGGATGTTGTTAAATATCTCCCTGCCCCAAATCTCACCAATGCCAATACAGGAAAGTCCAATTTTAGCAATATATAAACAATAAAATCCAAGGGGCTGGGGATTTAGCTCAGCGGCAAAAGCGCCTGCCTGGCAAGCGCAAGGTCGTGAGTTCGGTTCCCGGTACCGGAGAAAAACCAAAAAAAAAAAAAAAAAAAAACAATAAAATCCAGATCAATGGTTGTCACCTTCTAACCAAGCTACAACTGATAATTTCTAGAAATTTATGGTCATAGACACTTTTAAATTTGTGAAAGCCTACCACTAGATTCTTTACTTCCAGTGACATACCCAATCCTTAAGGTCTTGATGTCAGTTTCTTCACCTAATTCTTTTTCTTTGGGCGGGGCGTGTGCCAAGAATCGAACTCAGGACCTTGTACTTGCCAGGCAGGCACTTGTGCCCGTGGAACTAGATCCCTAGCCCTTACCTAATTCTTTTATTTTAAAAGACTTTGACTCACACAAAACAGAATCTTGCAAAACTTATAGAAACCACAAAATAAAACAAAAGCTTCTAAACTTACTGCGAGGCCCATCAACATATTTTCACCCACTGTGATCTGAATTCTTAGTCCAAACAGAGCGTTCATCCCCTTGAGTTTCAGCTTATTCATGAGCTGAGTATGCACTTCGTATTCCATAAAAGGCAGGAGGTTACTGATGGCCGTAGCATTGGCTTCTGCTTGTGCTTTCTTTTTTAAGCGACATAACCTAAAAGGCAAACTCAGTCAGTGCATAGTAAGTGAGCTATCAGCTTAAAAAATGGCCAGTTTTTGAAACTTTCTAGAAGTGTGATTAAAAAACATCTACTTGTTTCAAATAGGTGAAGATACAACAATAATCCTTTCTGCCATTTCTGTCACTGTGTGAACGTTCATCAAAAATACTTCAATGAACAAAAAGGAAAAATCTCCAAATCTCTAGAAATAATTTAATATTGATAAAAATTATTAGACAATATAATTTAAAAGCATAGGTTCCATAACCACTTGTGATCATAAGATAAATGGAAAGCAGAAGAAAAATCCATTTACTCATTTAAACGAACATAAGTTATTTAAACTTCTATTATATACTAAATAGGCTACCTTCAAAGAAACAATACTTAGACCATGATTTCTCAACAGTAGCAATGAGGTTCAGAAGGCAGTGGTAAAAGGCTATCTTCAACATGCTGAAGGGAAAATGCCAGCCCAAAGTATGTTTTAATGTAAAATAAACACACTTTTCAGGCACAAAACAGGTAATTCTTCACTAAAAGAGAAAAACAATCCCAAATGAAAGGTCTAGGATATAAGAAGAGAAAGGATAAATGGGTTAGAAATACATTTCAGAAGAAAACTGAACATGACTTTGTGATGAATCCGACGTGGAGAGGCTGAGAAAGGGGACAATAGTAAAGAATACCAATTCTGGCATGAAGAACCAGATAAAGGAGTTTATTTAAAATGAAAACAAAAGGCTAATGAAGAAGTGGAGAAAATCAGTTCAACTTTGAACAAGTATGAGATGCCTATGATATTTCAATATGGGGTGTAAAGTGGACAGGTATATGAGGTTCCAAAGAACATTCAGAATAGAATTATAAATTTAGAGTTCATAGATACATGGATACCACATACGAGTTCATAGAAAGTCCGAACCCACAGCTCCCAAAAACCAAGAAATGAGGAGTCAACAAGGAGGCTGAAGCCCAACATAAAGTAAGAAAAACAGAAGGTGCGACACTGCGAGACCGAAGGAATTTCACAGTGGAGAAGCGATCAGCTGTCTCACTACTGCTGAGACCTTCAGTGAGATGAGGACAGAATTCCCAGTGGGTGGTAATCCGCCAACTGTCAGTGACCTGACAGGCACAGCTGTCTGCTGTATGTTACACTTTAGGGGCTCCTATTCCAGTGCCTTTGCAAAGGCACTCTTTAACAGCTTAGTGCAATAGTAAAAGAGACATTGCAGAGCAATACTTCAAAGAAAAAAAACCATCAATTTACATAAAACATATTTAATGTCATTAAAAAAACTACACTGACTCTACACTGAGTCACATCCCTAGCATATAGGCAGGTTATTAATAATACTAATAAACATTTGTAAAGAACTGAAATGATTTTGCATATAGAGGTTTTTATACAGAGGGTATTTTCACTCCCAGTTGTATATGCAATAAAATACAAAGTTCCAATAAAATTATTCAGCTTATCCAAAATCGAACAGCTAGGAAACAATACATGTCTAAAAAGAGATTTGACTCTGCATCTCCTAACTTTTCAAGGACACCAAATATCTGTTTTTGCCAACATACCTTGCTTGAATAAGACAACCTTTTCCAACAACTGCTGCATCGGCGGGGAGGTCTATAGTTGTAAAGAGGACATCAGGAACTTTTTGTTTCCTGCAGTTATAGCAGTACGTGAGATGAGCTGGAAATGGCATATTCAGTTCATCATATGGAATATGGCAAAATCCACAGCCTGCAGGCAAATTTTCCTCAAGCCTATACAAATACATGAAGAAAATAAATAAATAGATGAATAGACAGATAGATAGACAGACAGACAGACAGATAGACAAATAAGGCATTGTGCCCAGGGTTAGACCCCTTGCACCAAAGAAAAAAGGTATTCTCGAAAAAAACCTATGAATTTTTTCAAAAATATGTATAATATATATAGTACTTATGTATAGGCTACACAACTTCTACCACAGAACAGTAGTACAAAGTACTACCACGACTGGTAAGAATTACAAGTGACCATGAAGTCAGAACCACACATTGTTCCCCTGAGAGAAAAGCCTCACAAAAGTAAAGTTACTGTGTATCTGTTCTGTTTGATGACTTACCACCTGAGCAATAGACCACTACAGTCTCAAAGAGATTTGGGGGGACACCACATAAAAACAGGGGGATGGAAGTCAGTGACAGTGTACTGGCTGAAAAATAGAAGTATTACAAAATTCCTAAGGAAAAAAATTTAAGCAAACATCCCAACAATTTGAAAAAAACAAATGCATTTAACCAGAAAAACAAGTTCAAAACTTGGCACACTGTAAAATCTTTAATTTCCAACAACTACTTTAGCCTTTCTGAAAACCCAAAATACCCAGTTCATAAATAACACACATATGACAAGTCAACCACAACGGTACCCCCCCCCCTCAACTTCTCCATTCAATGTAAAATGCTCATTGGACTGCACGCTCTTTGTGAGTCATTTCAGAATGATTAAGCATTCTTTTTCTGGTGTTTCGAGAGAGGGTTTCATGCTGGATTTTGCACTCACTTGTGTAGCCCATAGTAGCCTAGAATTTGAGGTGATCCTCCTGTCTCAGCCTCCCAAGTGCTGGGATGATAACCCTGCACCATCCTGCCCAGCTAAGCACTTTTTCAGTCACTAAATTTGAGAAAGTCAAGACAAGAGGATGGATGTACTTAAATGCCCTGTAACAGTACTAAACTGCTTTGAGAATTCACTATATCTATCAAAGCCACAAAACAAATAAAAAAGCATCAGGAAGAAGATCATTACAAGAGGCTTCTACACAGCAAGAATAAAACTAGGTTGGGACTGCAGCTTTAGCTGAGTGTAACTTGCCCGACACAACCAAGCCCTGTGTTCGAATCCTCTCCGCTGCGATAAACAATGAATCTACTGACATGTGTGAGAACATTTCAGGACAGGCAGTTTTCTCAATAGAATATTCCAACTGCTCACTATACTTCAAAGCGTCCCCTACTTCCGGTAAGTTTTAAGTGTCTAAGATAGAATGGTGAATACCCATTTAATGCATACTGACAAAAGGTCCTCTTCTAACTATCAGGGCTAAAACAGCTTTGTTACAGACACTTGAAAATCTGTAACAAATTTGAACAAACACGGAGTATTTTTACTTTCTTAATTTATACTTAGCATATTCATACTAAAGAAAAAAGCAAAAATAACTATGGTAGCGACAAAGGTTAATAAAATATTTTTATCCAGGTAGAATGATACCAAACTAATAGTTGGTTTATATATGTATATATATTTGTGTGTACATTTTTAGTACATATTCACCTATTTAAAAATACATACTATATATCTGGTAGTTTTCTCTAGTTATAGAAAGCATTTTTGATATTTATGGATAACAGTTCAAAAGTTTGCCGTGACCAGTAACTAAATAAACCAAAACGTGAGCTCACTTTACCTAACACTTTCACCATTTCACATGTATTAAAGTTTTCTCATGTACTTTTGTACAGTGTAGTTTTATGTTGTGAAATAAGCCTTTTTACTGTTTTGAAGGTGAAACAAAAGAGGAAGAGAACAGTCAAATAAATTATTTCTGTATTATGACAAAGCCAAAAAGAGTAACTTGACATTGTGCAATCTATAGACATGACTGTCACTTATCAAGATACTAGAGCAGCAGAAAATGTCCTCAAGCCAGTCTGTGAGCTCCCCAGGTAACAGTTCCTGGTACAAGTTCCTGCTGATGCGCAGCGGGCCACTAGCATGCATAGCTGGCCACTAGCATGCCTACTGTAAGAACCAATCAAAGACAGCCAAGTGCTCTGCCTCTGTTGGTCCCCTTTGCAACCAACCCCATAAAAACCTCTCTCCCTGAGCCTTTGGGGCCTGATATTTTGAGAATTCTCCCGATCAGTGCCTGTTGTAAAGCAAATCTGCGTCCGAATCCCGGGAGTCATTTTGGTGTTTCTGCTTGCCGTTGCACCTGAGATGATAATGTGTCTAATACAGTACAGAATCCCATACTCCTTACAACCACCAGCTCATTAAAATGCAGGGAAGTGCTTGGTCCTAACTTCCACAACACCGTCAGCCTCCCTTGTGGAGAAGACATATCCTGGCTCTAAGAGAAAAAGTCAACCTCTCCCTTCTCTGCCCTTCTAGACGTAAGCCAGGCTGCCATGACAACCTCTGTTCCAAACAGCCCTCCACGGTGCCGTCCTGCAGAAACCGAGGATTGAGGACAGCTGCTGTGCCGGATGCTGACAAAATGCAGACTTCTTCACTGCAAAAAAAAATACATTTTTTTTAAAAGTTAGTATTTCAGTCAGCGTAACCACGAACACATATCCATGATTACAACAGTGACAGATTTAAGTGGTACTCTATTAAATGTTAAATGATTTTCAGAATTACTTATTAAAAGCTATGTGAGAAACTCAAAATAATAGGCTAGTGGTATAGCTCAGTGGTGAAGTGCTTACCTAGCATGCACACAGCCCTGGGTTTGATCCCCAGCACCAAAAAAAAGTAACTATAAGCTACACAATTTCTATATAAATCTGATGGTAACAACTACACCTTTTATAATCACATCTCTCAGTGTCAGGAGCACACACCTGTAATCCCAGCACTGGGAGGTTGAGGAAGGAGAACTGCCGCAAATTTAAGGCCAACCTGGGCTATCTAGTCAGTTCAAGGACAACTGGAACTACACAGCAAGACCCTGTCTGAATCAATCAATCAAATCACATCCACGATACTTGAGAACATATAGTGTTAAATATTTACATAAGGCAAAACTAGCTACAGGGGGGTACATGCAGAATACAAATCACAAGAGTACAACAGCTACTCTGGGGATCAAACAATTTGAAATTAGTGCATGTTCTGCAACAAATGGACCATGAGGAATTCTTTACAAATTAAAAATTGAAACAAAGTATATTTAATATACCAGCTTCCTGAAAGATTAAAATGTTTCAAACTATACTGCTGAATCCAATAATAATCCATTAAACTGTATGAAGATTTTCTTCAAAATATAAAGCCTACAAAATGATTCTGAAGGCAACACTATGCAAGCATGTATGCTGCTACAGCTTAATCTGAACTTGAATAATTATGAAAGTGTCCAAAACAATATCCAAAATATACCAAATGGAGCTTCTATGATATATGTGTGTATTTATATATGATTTTTAACTGAATTTTTTGAAATTCTTTATTACATATGACAGTTTAAAAGTTAAAATAATTACAAAATCAATGTAAGTGCTGAATGATAATAAGTAACAGCCTAGGAAAGAAATGCTCAAAACAAGGACTAAATGTACAGAAACTTAAAAGCACAGGCAGAAAGCTTGAACTATGAGTAAGCAGAGGAACAGCAGGCTTAAAAGGTAAATGGGCCCTGAGGGTGTCAGAAGAACAGCACGCAGCCTCTGCAGGTTTTTAAGCAAGGACTTAAACAAGAGCACATGTACATTTCAAGGAGTTCGTTCCAGTCACGATAGTAGGTAGGACAGGTTAGAAGAAATGAGCAAAGGTGCATTTTTTTTTATTTTAAAGAGAATAGTACAAAAAAAGAACAATAGCAAAATATTATCATCATAGACAAAAACAAAACAAAGCAAAAACATTAAAAATGATACAGGCTTTCAAAACCAAATGATAGGGATTAACAGTGGTCATTGTATCACATATTGTTATCCTCAATGAAGTTGCTCAGACTACCAGATGTAAGAATGCAAGATTGATCAAACCATTAGAGAATAAAAAAACAGTAATGAAAAAAAAAAACATTAGCGACATTTGTAAGTAAATCCGTTTGACCAAGGCGTCGACTCCTGCACCTGTGAGCTGTCCTCAGCTATGCTGAGTGTAGACTGTCTGGCATGCTTCACAGGCGACTCTTTAGCTTTGAACATTCTCCCCACATGTCCTCCCTTCCTTTATGTAATATTTATCTCCCAAGATTCAGCTCAAGCATCATTATGTCAGTGACATTTTCTTCCAGTCCTCCTGACTCCCAGCCCTCAGGGATCCTGAAGCACGTTGGGATATTGCAATCATAAAATGCATTACACTGGCTGAGGTTGTGCGTGCCTGTAATCTCAGCACTCTGGGAGGCTGAGGCAGGAAGGTTACAAGTTCAAACCCAGACTGAACAACTTAAAGAGACCCTATTTCAAAATAAAAAATAAAAAGGTTTCGGGATGTGCTTCAGTGTCAGGCCTTGGGTTAATCTCAAGTACTGGGGTGGGGTTGGGGGAACATAACATGTATTATCCTTGTCATATTTCTCCAGAACAATATATAAATCTGATGGTAACAACTACACCTTTTATAATCACATCTCTCAGTGTCAGGAGCACACACCTGTAATCCCAGCACTGGGAGGTTGAGGAAGGAGAACTGCCGCAAATTTAAGGCCAACCTGGGCTATCTAGTCAGTTCAAGGACAACTGGAACTACACAGCAAGACCCTGTCTGAATCAATCAAATCACATCCACGATACTTGAGAACATATAGTGTTAAATATTTACATAAGGCAAAACTAGCTACAGGGGGGTACATGCAGAATACAAATCACAAGAGTACAACAGCTACTCTGGGGATCAAACAATTTGAAATTAGTGCATGTTCTGCAACAAAAAAGAAATGGCCTACAGAGGATTAAACAGCATGGCTCTATAATACACATATTTATTATAGTTTAATGATTTTTTCTCTAACGATAATGACCAATCATAAGACCAGAACATCTGGCAACATGAACTATCCAAAAATAAATGGTGGAAAAAAAGATAGCAGACGGTGAAAACAGTTTCTAGATGACATCAATCATAAACTTATGAAGGGGTTGGAAGTAGGATTCAAATAATGGCAGAACATCAAGTAAAGCCTGAACCCAAGAAAGAGACTGGGAAAATACCTACTTAAGATAACTAGGGAAAAACAAACTTGGTACAAGCAAGCAAATGAGACTGGCGGAAAAACAGTAAGTTGTAATCTGAGAGCATCAAAGTTTCAATTTTTTATTTATTTTTTAGTTAAGTTTATTGGTACAATTCAGGTATGATAATGATCACATTCATCAAAGGAATTTGTACCTGTAGGTGATCTATCTTGATGCTTCTTTCTTCCCCATTCCCTTCCCCTCCCTTCAACTCTTCTTCCCCTTCCTATTTACAGAGTTTTGTTTCTACGTCTACCCTTCTTTTCTCATTTTTTCTTTTCCCTCCCTCCCTCTCCCTCCTTCCCTCTGTCCCTCCTTCCCTTCCTTCCTCCCTCCCTTCCTACCTTCCTCTCCTCCCCGCTCCCTAGTTCCCCTTCCTTTTGAACAATTTCTTCCTATTTCACAATATATACTATAAATTTTGGTTCTTATTTACACTTTCAGTTTTCAATTTTTTGGAGTAGAGTATTTTGAACAGATAGCCAAGTCCAAAATATGGTTAAAGGCAAGTGGCAATGGACGACTTGATAATGAGAAAATTCAACCCAGGCTGCTAGAAGGGAGATAACCCTGTAAAAATGGAAGAGACAGTGAAGTTATAAAGAAAGGCAGAAAGTATGGGGGGTTGGTAACGGTGGAATGGCACTGACTGCAAAGTCATTAAAATGAAAGGCAGGAGCAAGAACAGCGCAGAACCAAGAGTATGGAAGCCCCTTCCTAACTTGGCAGAGTTAAAAAGAACTGTTTGTTAGCGGGACAAAGTTATGTCCCAGTTAGTAAGTGCAGGCAGAATGAGTTTACAGACACACTTCAAAGACACCTGGCAAATCCATTTACACAAGCTTGAGGGTTCCAAGTACCCTGGTGGAGGAGTTAGAAAAGTCATAAGCTGGAGTCAACTAGACCTGTAATTAATACTTCCCATGTGACATATTTTATGTGCATTCAATCCCTCAAAGACTTGGATACCACTATATTCTAAGGCTATACTATCACCACTTCAATGGATAACCTGAGACTTTCAGAGGAGTAACACTGCCTAACTCTGTCAGTGCTTCGGTGAGAAAGCCAGCATATCAAACTTGATCTAACGTACTAACAGGCCCATGCTGCAGACCACCCCAATACTTCTGTATTTTTTTATATTCACAGGTTTTCCCTTTAAGATGACAACCTAAATGACAGTATCCAGAATAACACACTGTAATCACTTACCAGATGCTAGTCGATTCACTGTAGCCCACGACAGCATGGCAGCCCAGTGCTTTAGCATGGGATTTTATTTCTTGTCTAATTTCTGCCCACCACGCATCCCGCGTTTCTGGTTCATCTGAAAAATAAATTTTAAATCAGTTCACTACTCAATAGCACACTGCGTATATGAACAAAGAAACATTTAAAATAAACATACTATGGGAGGTATAGAAGTATTGCTCTACGACAGATTTTTAAACTTCCTATTTTTAAAATGCTACTTCTCAAACATTTTTAAAGTTAGTGGCTAGGAAAAAAAAAGCACTACATGCTTAATTACTTTAAGGGACACCTATACTAAGTATTTTATTAGGCAGAGAATAAAATCTGGACCCAGAGTATCCAGCTTCTAATCTTACTGATACCCTATGCTTCACCTCACTGAAAGAACACCTCATGTGTCATATTCATAAATGTTACATAAATCCTGACTTCATTTCACGGTACTAATTTTTCAAAACCCACTATATTCTAAAGCAAAGATGTATCAAGGTTGAAAGAGAAAAAGCTGTATGCTAGTCATCCTTCTACAGAGATGTAAGCTCTAAAATGATAAGAAATAAAGGGACTAGCCAATCCTCCCCACCAAAAGCAAATATATTTAAAAGATTAATACAAAAAACAATTTGGGGAATATACAGAAGGACAAATTTCACGTGAAATGTAATAAATTCCATAAATGGAACTACAACTCAAAAAAAAAACAGCTTACACGGGCATGGTGGCATTTACCCGTACTGTAGTTCCAGTTACTTGGGAGGCTGAGACAGGAGCATCATTTGAACCTACGAGTTTGAGATCTGTCTGGGAAATGCAATGCGACCCTCACCTCACCACTACCAAAAACACACACACAAAAAATTTTTTTTTTTTTTACAGCTGGAGATGCAGCTCAGTGGTAAAGCCCTCACCCGGCATGAAAAAGGCCTTTGGTTGATCTCTGGTTGGAAAAAAGAAGGGAGAAGAGCAAGGGGGCTTAAAAATCAAAGAATTGTATGGAATTGTCATGGGAAGTGCTTCTAATAGAGCACTATAAATGGTACAGCTGTCACACATATTTCCTAATCACTTGTATTTAGCTGCAAACTATGGGCAAACAGCAGTTGCAAATTATAGTAACTTTATGTTCAAAGACATTAAAAACATAAACAGTCCATAATTAGTATGTCCTGATTTATTTCCTTTGGTAGCCAATGCCCAGTTGGAAACAATTTGAAAACGTTAAGCAGGGTGGTAAGCTTCTTATTGTAAATTTTCCACATGTAAGGCACTATTAAAACTGAAAACCAAATAATCCAATAGCACTTTCTCTTTTTATACTGAGACACACATTCAACTTTCAAAATGTTTTTCCAAATTAGTAAAATAAGAATTATACTCACTAGTAAAATAGTGAAGACAGCAAAGTAAAGAAAGGTTAAGAAGCTTGTGATAGCTCACATTCCTACGATGGGATTTTGTTTCCCCCACAGGGAGGAGATCAGCAAAAAGGAGAAATGAGGAGATTAAAGCCAGCACTATGAATGATGCCAGCCAGTTCTTGAAGTAAAGTTTTGGATCCAAGACCGAAATACCCTAAAACTTTCTTTCAGAAGAAAAGAAAGAAATGCAGACTTCAGGAAACTGAGGGAAAGATCAAAGTAGAAGATAAAATGAAGGAAGAGAAATAGGAAAGACTACAATACGGTGTTAGCAGTCAACATTATGAATTCAGAAACGTGTGCCACAACTAGTTGGCCGTCCTTTTCATATTTATTACTGTGTTAGAATTTCTTCATATTCCTAACTGATATGTATACATTACTATAACGAATACATTTTTAAGCCCATACTTGCTTTTGCTTCTAAGACATATTTATTTGAACATCCATTTAATATTATCTTTTCCTAACAGAAAATTTTAGTGTAAGACAAACTATTACTCCAGTAGTTGCTCTTTTATCAAATTATTCATGATTCTGAGAAAACAGATATCACAAATAATGACACAACGATAGCACTATATCTGTTTAGGAAGCTGTTTTCCTGAGATACTACATGAACTGTAGTCTATCTTTTCCTAAACTCACGAGTACAATCTGCTATTTACTTTTAAGCCATTCTAGAAAATTAAAATATTATTTTCTAAAGCAAGTAATTGTGCGGTTTTTAAAAAATAGATTTTTCTCACATTAGGTTGCCTGCATCTATACCACAAGTTATATATGATAGCTTCTGTTTTAAAAATGAATTTCACAGAAAGTACTCTGTAACACTTATTTTAAAATTAATTAAAAAATTGGAGGATGTTACTTAAATGATAAGAAAACATACTTAGAAATGGCCAGCACGTCTAAATGGAAAAGTATGCAATAATAATTCCTATGAGATACACATAACCACACAGAATACAGTGTTACTTTACATTAAACTTACCTTGGTATAACACATACAATAAGCAGATAATTAAACCAAACATCATGAAGGAATTAAGTGGCTGATTAAAAAAAAAAAAAAAAAGCCGAATGCAGCACAGGTGGAGCATTCATATTCTTCTGACAAACTTACAAGCAGCTTTTATTTTGACACATGAGCCACACAATTGCACATGGGGATGCCATTATTGTATTGAATCAAGTATTTACAAGTTTAATAGAAAGCTAGAGTTACACAGCATGGGAGCTAAGGAAGCAAATGGCGTATGTCCACACTGAAAGAATTTGTTAGATTTGGTTTCTGGTTAAAGCGAAAGCTCAAGGAAAGAAGGGTTTGCAAAGCAGGTTCAGCAATACAGGAGCCAGAAACAGTGCTATTTTGGCGCATGCTCGGATCAGGTGACGGTACAGACTGAAACTATGGCAGCTCACTGAAATGGTCACAGGAAGTAATGGCCCTAGGTTCTAGGTGGGAGCGAGGCAAGCGTACATGGGGAGCACTGGGCCACAAACTAGAAATTGTCTGAACAATAGTCATCGACAACTGCAAGCAAGAAGTCAAAGGATGCATTTTGTGGCTATTAAATTTAGGGGTTAATTATAATAAAATTTAGATTAAATTATTTATTTAATATTAAAGAAATGTTAAGTTTTATTTCAAAGTGTGTATTATACCTATGCCTAACATGAGCTAGAGAATCTCCAAGGAGTAATTATGATTAAGACTAACTTATCAATGTCAAATATTCATAAATACAGTATTTAATCGTTATAACAGAATTTTTAGGTTTAAAAAGTGCTAACTACGTTCTTGTAGGAAACACAGCAGTGAATCTGATGCTTCATTCATCTTACAAATGTATGAAACTGAGGCTCTACTATACTTATACGAAAAGCAGTTTGGCTTTAAAAAGTATGGCAACGATACATTCCATACATAAAACTGGATATAATTTAGTTATTTGAAGGACATACAGCTGAGATGTGACTCAAAACAAGCTTTTCAAGATATTAAGAAAAAAATCTCTTCACTTAAAATACCATGCTCCTCCCAGTAATCTACAGAATTACTTATAATTATAAAAGGACATTTTGGGAAAAATTAAAATTTAATTATTACACAAATTATATCACTTATTTTATGTTTTCTCCCAAAGGTCAAAACTCTTCATAGATAATATCACAAATCTTTTAAAATGCTTTCTTAATTGCAGGCATGAGCTGAACTCTAAGTCAATACCTCACTGGTACCCTTTTTAGGGATTATGTCAGCACACATGGGCTGACATCAGAATCAATTTATTTTTATTACTGTCACTTTTCTAGAGCATGGCCACAGCTTGATATCTTGCCATCTTTTTATTTTATAGTGTTTCTGAAGTGCAGGTAAAACTGGTAAGGTTCTTAGAATGTTAATTTACATCTCAGAAAGCAAGCAAGTGATCAGCACAACACAAAATATGCCTTTATTCAGCTCAATCCCTTTGAGATTTTAGATAGTTACATACTTGTAACTAAGAAACACTGACTACCTGGAGTTTTACATTCCACTCTATTTTTATACAGCTCCAGGAGAGAATAACATTGCCCTGGGAAATCTTTTAATCCTGAAACAAAAAAAGCAAGTAGACTGCTAATTCAACCTTTCAAATCAACAGGGGAGATAAAGTATGAGGTTGGATCAAGTAAAGCTTTTTAATATAATGATCATCTTCTTGTTAAGAATGGCATGAAAAGCTATGCTATGTCCCTCGATACTTGAAAGTGATACTCCAAACAATAAAAATCTCAAATGCAAATAAATTTCCCTTAATGAAACAGAAATTAAGAGAGTTCAGGTTAAAAGGAGTATACAACTTCAAACTGGGTAAGGATTAGTACCAGCCTGAGAAAAAGATACCTCTCGTAGAGGAAATGATGTACAAATACAGAGCAAACATCAAGACCAGGATTTGGGGATGTTAACATGGCAGCTGGCATCTAGTCCATATGGGACCAGAGTGAAGGCTTTGCTCTCTGTACAGAAAAGGAAAAAGAAAAACTCAAAATGTGATCTATTCCTTAACTGTGACTTCAGTTTTTACTTGTAACTGAACAATCATTATGCCACATTAATGCTAATACAGAAAGGCTGACATATCATACATGCTATATTTATGCCTTCTTGAACTTGACCTACTTCCTAAAAGGTCCTTAACTACTTTAGGCTTAGTTTTTGCATACCTGCTCATGAACACCTCTTAGAGTGAAGAGTCACTATTGAGATCAGAATTCAGATTTCAAAAACATCTACCACTTATCTCCACTTATCTACCCCCCCCACACACACACAAACCAATTGTGCATGAATTAGCCTAGACTGGATGTGCAGAAGATGTTCACCCGGCTCCATAATGGTATTCTCAGTACCCTTACAGTGCATATTACATGATAGGCACTCCACAGATATCCACTAATAAAAGATTTTTATTGAAAAAAGTTTTAAGTAACTTAGATGAGCATACTGTCATATTTTAGACATTTATATATCAGTAGATTCACATTTTTGTAACTATTTTATAAAGTAGTAATTATGATGTTTTTGTTTCAACTTAATTGTTGCTCCCAAAATAAGATGAATTTTTTAAGCAAATGTAATTCTCATGGTTAACCAAAAAAAAGT